GCTCACGCCTATAATCCCAACACTTTGGGAGGCCGAGGCAGGTGGATCACGAGGTCAAGCGATCAAGACCATCCTGGTCAACATGGTGAAACCCCGTAATCTACTAAAAATACAAAAAATTAGCTGGGCATGGTGGTGCGTGCCTATAATCCCAGCTACTCAGGAGGTTGAGGCAGGAGAATTGCTTGAACCCAGGAGGCGGAGGTTGCGGTGAGCCGAGATCGCACCATTGCACTCCAGCCTGGGCAATAAGAGCGAACCTCCGTCTCGAAAAAAATAAAAATAAAAATAAAAATATGTAGTGTTGCCGGGCGCGGTGGCTCAAGCCTGTAATCCCAGCACTTTGGGAGGCCGAGGCGGGTGGATCACGAGGTCGAGAGATCGAGAGCATCCTGGTCAACATGGTGAAACCCCGTCTCTACTAAAAGTGCAAAAAATTAGCTGGGCATGGTGGCACGTGCCTGTAATCCCAGCTACTCAGGAGGCTGAGGCAGGAGAATTGCCTGAACCCAGGAGGCGGAGGTTGCGGTGAGCCGAGATTGCGCCATTGCACTCCAGCCTGGGTAACAAGGGCGAAACTCAGTCTCAAAAAAAAAAAAAAAAAAAAAAATGTAGTGTTTACAACTGCTTAAAAAATGAAATGGGCAGCCGGGCGCGGTGACTCAAGCCTGTAATCCCAGCACTTTGGGAGGCCGAGGCGGGTGGATCATGAGGTCAAGAGATCGAGACCATCCTGGTCAACATGGTGAAACCCCATCTCTACTAAAAATACAAAAAAATAGCTGGGCATGGTGGTGCTTGCCTGTAATCCCAGCTACTCAGGAGGCTGAGGCAGGAGAATTGCTTGAACCCAGGAGGCAGAGGTTGCAGTGAGCCGAGATCACGCCATTGCACTCCAGCCTGGGTAACAAGAGCGAAACTCCATCTCAAAAAAAAAAAAGAAAAAAGAAAAAAAAGAAATGGGCAACATGAGAAGACCCTATCTCTTAAAAAAAAGTGCAGCACCATCCTTAGAGAGATCTCTTTAGAAAGAGATGCAACCCATCCCCAGATCCAGGAAACCCAGGACCCACATCTACAAGCCCTTTTGTTAGATTTAAACTTAGGTTTAAATGCAAGGACTCTGTATGGTGAAAATTACAAAACCTGATGAAATCTAAGATTTAAATAAACATGCCATGTTTCTGTATTGTTAGACACAATAAAGATACTAATTCTCCTCAAACCAACATACAGGTTGAATGCAGTTCCTATGAAAATCCTAGATGATGTTTTGTGGATGTAGACGAGGTTATTCTAAAATTCATATAAAAACTGGTAGCGAAAATATTTTGAGAAAGAATAATGTACAGATCAACAGAGCAGAGAACACATTTGGGACCACACAAATATGCCCGGCTGACTTCAAGGTGCAAAGCTAATTCAATGGAGGAAGGACAACTTTCAACAAATGGTGCTGGAGCAGCTAGACATCTACAGGCTAAAAAAAGAAGTTTAGCCTAAGTCTTTTTTTTTTTTTTTAAGATGGAGTTTCGCTCGTTACCCAGGCTGAAGTGCAATGGCGTGATCTTGGCTCACCACAACCTCTGCCTCCTGGGTTCAGGCAATTCTCCTGCCTCAGCCTCCTGAGTAGCTGGGATTACAGGCACACGCCACCATGCCCAGCTAATTTTTTGTATTTTTAGTAGAGACGGGGTTTCACCATGTTGACCAGGATGGTCTCAATCTCTCAACCTTACGATCCACCTGCCTCGGCCTCCCAAAGTACTGGGATTACAGGCTTGAGCCACCATGCCCGGCTTTTTTTTTTTGAGACGGAGTTTCTCTCTTGTTACCCAGGCTGGAGTGCAATGGCGCGATCTCGGCTCACCGCAACCTCCGCCTCCTGGGTTCAGGCAATTCTGCCTCAGCCTCCTGAGTAGCTGGGATTACAGGCATGTGCCACCATGCCCAGCTATTTTTTAGTAGAGATGGGGGTTTCACCATGTTGACCAGGATGGTCTTGATCTCTTGACCTCGTGATCCACCCGCCTCCGCCTCCCAAAGTGCTGGGATTACAGGCTTGAGCCACCGCGCCCGGCAACCTAAGTCTTACACATTATACAAAAAATAACTCAACATGGGTCACATACTTAAATGTAAAACTATAAAACTTTTAGGAAAAAACAGACTATCTTTGGGATCTAAGACTAGGTAGAGTTCTTATTGTAACACTAAAAGCAACAGTCCATAAAGGAAGAATCGGTAAGGTGGACTTTATCAAAACTGAAAACTTTTGCTCTGTATAAAACTCTGTTAAGAGGGTGAAGATGGCCGGGCGCGGTGGCTCAAGCCTGTAATCCCAGCACTCTGGGAGGCCGAGGCGGGTGGATCACAAGGTCGAGAGATCGAGACCAACCTGGTCAACATGGTGAAACCCCGTCTCTACTAAAAATACTAAAAATTAGCTGGGCATGGTGGCGCGTGCCTGTAATCCCAGCTACTCAGGAGGCTGAGGCAGGAGAATTGCCTGAACCCAGGAGGCGGAGGTTGCGGTGAGCCGAGATCGCGCCATTGCACTCCAGCCTGGGCAACAAGAGCGAAACTCCGTCTCAAGAAAAAAAAAAAAAAAAAAAAAAAAAAAAAGAGGGTGAAGATGGCCGGGAGAGGTGGCTCATACCTGTAATTGTAGTACTTTGGGAGGCTGAAGTGGTCAGATCTCTTGAGCTCGGGAATTCAAGACTGGTTGTGGGCAACACAGTAAAATCCCATCTCTACAAAAAAAAAAATTAGCTGGGCATGGTGATAATCCCATCTACTTGGGAAGCTGAAGCAGGAGAACTGCTTGAATCCAGGAATCAAATATGCAGTGAGCCAAGACTGTGCCACTGCACTCCACCCTATGTGACAAAGACTCTGTCTCAGAAAAGGGGATGGGGGTGAAAAGATAAGCTACAGATGAATGCAAACCAAAAATCTCATAAAGGAATCTCAAGAACTCTCAAAACTCAACAGAAAAAAACAATCCAATCAGAAAATGGGTGGACAGGGATATTCCACTGTAATGAAACACAGGAGGTGCCCATCACTGGGAAACACAAATGAAAAACCACCGTGAGGCATCATGACACACCTGTCAGAAAGGATAAAGTAAAAACATGTCACCACTAAGTGCTGCAGAGGATGTGGGGAAACGATCATCCTAGGTTGCTGGTGAGGACGTAAGAGTTTGACAGTTTGTTTAAAAAAGAAAACATGCGGCCAGGCGCGGTGGCTCACGCCTGTAATCCCAGCACTTTGGGAGGCCGAGGCGGGTGGATCACAAGGTCAAGAGATCGAGACCATCGTAGTCAACATGGTGAAACCCCGTCTCTACTAAAAATACAAAAAATTAGCTGGGCATGGTGGTGCGTGCCTGTAATCCCAGCTACTCAGGAGGCTGAGGCAGGAGAATTGCCTGAACCCAGGAGGTGGAGGTTGCGGTGAGCCGAGATCGCGCCATTGCACTCCAGCCTGGGTAACAAGAGCGAAACTCCATCTCAAAAAAAAAAAAAAAAAGAAAACATGCAACCACCATATGACCTGGAATTTATCCCAAAGAAAACTAATCTTTACACAGAAACCTATACATGAATATTTGTAGCAGCTTTATTTGGAATAGCCCAAAACTGGAAACATCCCAGGTGTCCTTCAGGGGGCCAATACGTACACCATGGAATAATACCACTCAGCAATAAAAAGGAACAAAACACTGACACATGCAACCCCTGGGTGATCTCCCGAGAATTACAGAGTGAAAAAAGACAATCCCAAATGCTTACACACTATGCTTCCATTTACACAACATTCTTGAAATGACAAAATAAGAGATGAAGGATTAGTGGTTACCAGGGGTTAGGGAGGGTGGTGAGGGAGATCCTTGAGGGGATGGCACTTCTTTATCTTAATTGCAGTGGTAGTTACACAAATGTACATGTGACAAATGATTTGGACTATCCATCCACACTGCACCAGTATCAAAGTCTTGGTTGGAATACTGCATTACAATCACGTAAGATGTAACCATGGAGGGAAAATGGAGGAAGGGTGTGTGGGACCATTATCTTTACAACTTCCTATAATCTGAAATTATTTCAAAATATAAAGTTAGAAAAAAAGAAAGCAATAGCTTTAAGTGAGTATGGCATCCTGGATTGGCTGCTGCAGCAGAAAAAGGACATTATTGGGAAAACGGGTAAAATCCAAATCAACTCTGTACTATTTTAATAGTATGATTGCACCAATGTTAATTTTTTTAGTTTTGATAAATGTACCAAGGTTATATGTAAGATGTTAACATTAGGGGAAGCTGAGTGAAAGGTCTATGCAACTTTTCTGTGAGTCTAAAAATATCTCAAGGCCAGGCATGGTGACTCACGCTATAATCTCAACACTATGGGAGGCTAAGGCAGGAGGATCGCTTGAGTGTAGGATTTGAGACTAGCCCAGGCAACATAATGAGACCCAATCTCTACAAAAAATTAAAAGAATTAGCTGGGTGTGGTGGTACGCACCCATAGTCCCAGCTATTCAGGAGGTTGAGGTGACAGGATGGCCTGATCCAGGGAGGTAGAGGCTGCAGCAAGCCGTGATCACAACACTGCACTGCAGTCTGGGCAACAACAGAGTGAGATCTTGTCTTTAAAAAAAGAAAAAAAAAGGCCGGGCACAGTGGCTCACACCTGTAATCCCAGCACTTTGGGAGGCCAAGGCAGGTGGATCACGTGAGGTCAGGAGTTCAAGACTAGCCTGGCCAACATGGTGAAACCCCATCTCTACTAAAAATACAAAAATTAGCCAGGCGTCATGGCATGAGTTCCTGTAATCCCAGCTAGGGATTAGGAGTTGAGGCAAGAGAATCGCTTGAACCTGGGAGGTGGAGGTTGCAGTGAGCCGAGATCACACCACTGTACTCCAGCCTGCGTGACAGAGTGAGACTCCATCTCAAACAACAACAACGAACTCACTGTTCTGGAGAGGACTTTAAAGCATCTGTTTCCCATCTGGGCTTGGTCTTAGAGTTGATTCGTTGAGGACAATTTCTAAGCAAGCATACCGCTGTTCTTTTGGCCTTCAGTCCCATTTGTAAGGGTCCGAATTCCTTTGAGAAAAGTTCCACAAATCCTCCTCTCTCCCTACCCCCAATCTATGATCCTATGTTCTTGTAATGCCCTGGTTTCCACACAGCTCAAGAACTACGAAAGGAAAATATAGTAAATTAGAAGAAAGATAAATGCCTTCCTGTTACCACTTCTCTAAAACCCCAAAGCTAGGAAGAGAAAAAAAGGAAGACTCGGAATGTTCTAGATATAACAAAAACTGATTTTTTTTTTTTAAAGAAAGGTCATGAGGATCTACCTGGTTCATAAACCCTCCCTAGATGCTCTCTGCACATCACAGCCGTACAGCACCTGCAGGGAGGCTGTGGGGAGGTGTGTAGCAGGTGCAACAGGTAGCCACTCTCCCCAGGGCCACACAGTGGAGAGATGATTCGATGCAGCATGAGGATCCCTTCCTCCCAGGTGTGACCTCTTCTCAGAACACAGGAACTGACAATGCTGTGAGTGGCAACTCCGCAGGTGGACAGAGAAGCAGAAAGGGGCCCTTGGCACCACTAGGCCAGCTCTCAGGGTCAGAAGAGCAGCCTCCAGGGAGGGAGAAGAGCTACAGGGACAGCCTACAGGCAGCAGCTTCTGGTTTGGCACATGGAAAGGCTGAGGCGCATGCTCTGAAACGTGGCACCATCAGGGAAGCTGGAAAGGACACCATGGACAAGGTCATGGATTTGAACCCCCAACACCAAAACGGGTGCTCTAGGTTTGCTCAAAAAGTGCTGCCAGCAGTGGTAGGCTGGCAAATTAAAAGCAAAGCGAGTACAGGTCACGGCCACGTAAGGCAGTAACTGCACTCACAAGGTCTCTTGGCCCAAAGAGGTCTGAATATGCTGCACTGTCCCAGTCTCTGGGGAGACGGGGAAGCCAGGGCCCTGGGGACTACAGATGGTGCTCCTTTCGTTCCTTCCTGACGCAGGGCTGGAAAGCTGTGCCCTGGTGACCCCCATCTTCTAAAGTAGGGCAGGGCCGGCTGAAGGATCCAGGCATTGATGTCAAGTTCTGAGGACACCCAGGACCCACATCTACAAGGGCCATCTAAAACGTGGCCTGGAGGGCATGGGGGCAGGCAGGCATGAAGCTTCTGCTCGGCTCACTCCAGCTCCCCACGTGCTCATCTTGTTCCCCAGATCTGGGGCTGCCTAGCAAGCAGTTAAACACCTGGGTTCCGCCCAGGGCTGCCTTCCACTGGGATGCCAGGCCTGCTGTGGTTGGACCCTAGAGAAGACAAGAGAAGGAGAATTAGCATCAAAGCTGGTAAAGGTCCCATCAAAACTAAGTGCCAAACCCTCTGTGGGACAGGAAGGGGCAGGTGAGACAGGGGCCTTGGGATGCCTTAGGAGGTATCAGAGCAGAGCCAGGAGTGGTTGGTTAGCAGATGGTAAGCCAAACTCACCTCACAAGAGGAAGCCACTGAGAACAGATGACTTCCCTGGGAGACAGGGAAGCTGGGGCTGTGGATTTCTGGCCCCAGAGAGCCCAGGCCATTATGCTGAACAAGAGCCCCCTGGATGGGATGATATAGCACCCCGTGCTAGAAGGAAGCACCATTTCCCATAGTGGAGGTATCTCATGACCCCTCCTGTCTTCCAGAAGGATGGAAGGGAATGCCCACCCCATAACCCCAGAGAGAAATGCTCCCCAGCCTAGGGAGCTGTGGGATCTGCTCCTCCCACAGGTGAAGGGCCAGGAAAGGAAAGTGATAGGGCAGGGAGAGGGAAGATATTTACCTTAGGTGTGCTCTGAAAACAAAAAACGCGCACTAGTCCACAGTCATTTATCAACTGCAGTTTCCAACTGTGCCAAAGAGGGAAAGGTCTACTGGGAAGGCTAAAGAGAGCAGAGAGAGAAAGAAGAGGAGAAGCTATTGAGCAGAAATGGTTGTGCCTCTTGGCTCCAGGCAGCACCACAGAAAGGCCCAGCACCACGGGCAGGGGGAGCTGAGGGGGAACCATGGCACTACGGCTGCGAAGCCCCACAGCTTGCAGGACAGTAGAGGAAGCCAGGAAGACAACATGGAGGGCTGCACAGTGTGGGGACTGCCTTTCCTTCAGCATACGGTTCCATGAAGAACTGACATGGAGGACTTGCCCAGGATTTGAAATGGTAAGCCAGGGGTCAGACAGCTTTTTCTGCAAAGGGCCAATATTTTTAGTTTTTGTGGGTCACACAGTCTCCGTTACAACTACTCAGTTCCACTGCTGTAACTCAAAGGCAGCTGTAGCAATCCACAAACAGATGTGTGGGTTCCCATTAAACTTCATTCTCAAAAACAGGCTGCTGGCCAGATGTGGCCCTTGTATTGCCATCTGCCAACCCCTGCTGTAGGCAATTTAAAATTACTGTGCCCACAAAACAAAACAAAATAAATAAATAAATAAAATAAAATAAAATAAAATTACTATGCCTTCCAAGTCTCAAGAAAGGCACTTCTCTGGTGGGAATCTAGTACCAAGGTTTCCAGAAACTGGTTCTCATCTGCACGACTTAAGCAGCGCCCCACTGAAACTTAGAGGTATGCAGCCACGCCATGCTCCTCCGGACAGCAAAGTGCCAAGCTCACAGGACAAAATGCAGGACAACCCCAGAGTTCAGGCAAGAAACAGAAAGAGAGCAGGCCAGCCTCACTTAGGTGAAAATACCAACATTATTTCTAGAGAATAATGGATAATCCATTACAACGAGGAAATGACCCACGAAGCCACTATAAACTATTCTCTTACAGGACGGCCCAGTGAAGATTTTTTTTTTTTTTTAATCTCTGGCTATAGGATAAGAGATGCAATGATGAGAAAAGCAATATTCTTATAACTCGATCAAGACAGTTGCAGGAAAAAGGAAAAAAAGAAATTAAAAAAAGAAAAGAAAAGCATTATTCTGGGATTAGGTCTGTATCTTTAATACAACATGTGCTGTCTGGGTAGCAGTTGGATTCAGAAAAGGCTCACATGTGGGAAAACCAAAACCAAAAGGCTCACATTTTAAAAAACACAATACCTTGGCCTCTGAGACCCCAGTCTAATGTGAGTGACAGTGGGAACTTCTATATAAGAGGCACCCCGGCCGGGTGCGGTGGCTCAAGTCTGTAATCCCAGCACTTTGGGAGGCCGAGGCAGGTGGATCACGAGGTCAAGAGATTGAGACCCTCCTGGTCAACATGGTGAAACCCCATCTCTACCAAAAATACAAAAAATTAGCTGGGCATGGTGGCGTGTGCCTGTAATCCCAGCTACTCAGGAGGCTGAGGCAGGAGAGTTGCCTGAACCCAGGAGGTGGAGGTTGCGGTGAGCCGAGATCGCGCCATTGCACTCCAGCCTGGGTAACAAGAGTGAAACCCCATCTCAAAAAAAAAAAAAAAAAAAAAAAAGAGGCACCCCATAAAATAAGAAACCATCACAGTGGGTAAACACAGAAGCATCAAGAACCCTAAAAAATGCAGCACTAGCTGGTCGTCCAGCTACTTTGGAGGCTGAGGCAGGAGGATCACTTGAGCCCAGATTATGAGGCCAGCCTGGGCAACATGACAAGACCTTATCTCTTAAAAAAAGTGCAGCACCATCCTTAGAGAGATCTCTTTAGAAAGAGATGCAACCCATCCCCAGATCCAGGACTTACGCACCACGACCTCTCCTGCTGCTGTTTTGCCAACACCCACATCTGCAGCCACAGGGGCTGAGGCATCCGCATGGCCCAGAATGGGGTTTCTGTCCCTTGCACCTGCACATCACCTCACAATTCAGAAAGGACTTTCTATTAGAAAAACATGTTTGTGCTCTCAAGTATGGGTCTGAGTAGCCAGAGCTGCTCCGTGGGAGGCCCAGAGGAAGCAGATTAGAGTGCCAGGGCCTTCTCTTGGGCTCTCAATCCTACCCTGTAGAATGGGCAGAACAGCTAGCACCCCTCCAGCCACAGAGGGGTTGGCGGAGTTAGACGTGGAAGCTCCCAGTGCAGTGCGTGGCGGAGGAAGCATTGATAAGGGCTTGTCTTCCTCACGGTGGGGCAGGTGGGGGTGTGAGGAAGTAAGCCTGCAGCTCCCTCCACAGTCTCTCCAGAAGCCCCACCGGCTCCTCCAGGAATCCCATGTTCAGGCATATCTCTAACCCCAACCTTAGGAACTCAATCAGAATAAAAGTATCTTCTTGAAAAACAAGAACAAGAAAGCCTGACCCTTCACCACTCATACCCACAGCCTACATTTTAGAATCTTTTCACCTCTCTCCTGGCACTGAGGGGGGATGGGGTTTGATATCCCACCACCTCTAGTTTCATTTGCAAAATTTCTTCCAACACAATCTTCCTGCTCACAGTGGAGCCCCGGATGGGTCTCGTTTATTTAAACATTAGCATAAACTGACCAAGCTCCTAACAAATGCCCTTCTAATGTCTAGGATGGTGTCCACCAACCACTCACCCTCTGAGCTAGGCCCACTGCTGACTCCAATCTTCACTTACCAAGTGACCTAAACTTAAATGGCCGAAAGTGTCTGAACTAAAACTTACTCCCACTTCCCAGCAATTCTCTGATTAAGTCACTCCATTCTAAGAGGGCCTTGAGAGAAAATATTGAATTACTATAGTCTTAATACCAGTTAGTCTATAGCTTGGTGTCATCCAAGCTGTTAAAAACAGCAAGAAGTTCAAATTGAGTAATGAAGAATTAAATAAAAAAAATAGCAAGAAGGGGACCAGGTGTGGTGGCTCACGCCTGGAATCCCAGCACTATGGGAGGCCGAGACAGGCAGATTACCTGAGGTCAGGAGTTTGAGACCAGCCCTGGCCAACATGGAGAAACGCCATCTCTACTAAAAATACAAAAAAACTAGCGTGACTCCGTCTCAAAAAAAAAAAAAAAAAAAAAATTAGCTGGGTATGGTGGCAGGCGACTGCAATCCTAGCTACTTCAGGAGGCTGAGGCAGGAGAAATGCTTGAACAAAGGAGGCAGAGATTGCAGTGAGCCAAGATTATACCATTGCACTCCAGCCTGGGTGACAGAACAAGACTCAAGACTCCATCTAAAAAAAAAAAAAAAAAATTTTTAGTTTGGCCGGGCGCGGTGGCTCAAGCTTGTAATCCCAGCACTTTGGGAGGCCGAGGCGGGTGGATCACAAGGTCGAGAGATCTAGACCATCCTGGTCAACATGGTGAAACCCCGTCTCTACTAAAAATACAAAAAACTAGCTGGGCATGGTGGCGGGTGCCTGTAATCCCAGCTACTCAGGAGGCTGAGGCAGGAGAATTGCCTGAACCCAGGAGGCGGAGGTTGCGGTGAGCCGAGATCGCGCCATTGCACTCCAGCCTGGGTAACAAGAGCAAAAACTCTGTCTCAAAAAAAAAAAAAAAAAAAAAAAAAGCAAGAAGGGAACAGGATGGGAAAAAACAGAGAAAAAAGATGGAGGGCAGGGTGGGGCGGTGAGAGTGCAAGTCTGTGTGTGCAAGTTCATGGCCCCTGGGTCTAGACACAGTGCACGGCATACCACTCGGCACTCACCTGCCGCTATGGCCGTCTTCTCACCAAGAAGCCTGGTCTGGCTGCCTGGGATGACCTGCAGGTCAGTGTTCTCAGGGGAATGTGGCAGGTTCTGGGCTCGGGTAGCCAGGAGTGCGTTGAGGTACTGCAGTCGCGTAACCTAGAGGATGAAAATATTACTGGCAGACCCAACTGGTGAAGTGAGACACAGAAGGTAGACAGTAGAGTCCACACCATGCCAGAAGAGGACAGAGGCACAACTTTAAGCTAGTTAAGGGGAGAAGAGCAACTGAGTCAAGTGTTTTTAAGACCTCGCATGGAAACTGGGTGCAAAGGTCTATGTCCCTCAGGATGAGTGCAAGGCCTTGCTCCGGGCAGTCTCAGACAAGCTGGTAGCCCCCGGTGACACAAAGTCAGCTAAAGTCAGCACCCATGAGCAGCCCAGGCAGTCACCTTGATGAGCTGCAGGTCAGAGAGCGCCCTGACGGTGTAGTCGGGACAATATGCAGATGAACGCGTGCTGTCTGGCTCGGGCTGCAGGTCATGGCGGATGGGCTGGAGCGAGGACACCGGGGACTGGTGAACTATCAAAGGAACAATCAGTGATGGCAGAAGCCAGTGCTGGCAGCTGCGAGCCCCCTCCCCTGGTGGGGACAACTGTACAGTTGCTAAGACCAACCCCACCAATCACCCTGGAGAGGCAATGTGTGTAGGAAGCCAAGAGATGATGAACACAGCTGGGAGAGGTTTCGCAGGGGTGGAGCAAGCCACAAAGACGAGTGAGGAAGAACGCTGCCCTCCCTCCCGGAAGTCCAGGGGCCACACCACCTTATGGGGTGGTGGGCTCAGGTACAAGGGGAGGCGAGGAGGGGCACTGAGAGCCGAAGCGACAAGGGGGGACAGGCTCCACAGCCTTGACCCTGGCCCTCTGCGCCAGCAGGGGCCGAAGCTTACCCGAGGATGGCACGGTCAGGGCCGACACTCCATAGTACGTGAAGGCCCCATTCTCAAACTTCAGGCCCTCTTTCCCGATCTCCACTTCAACCCTGCCCTGGGAGGAACAGCAGGGAGAGAAACAGATGTGGCCAGATTGCATTTCCCATCAGAAGACAGCGCAGAGAAACCCACGAACTCAACTGTTTTGGGGTAGGGAGGTATCTGCATGCCCCTACTCCCCTCTTCTCCCAGACCCTTCCCTGGCCTGAGGAATCAGGAGGCTCTGGGCCTGGTACCCACAACTACCTGTAGGATAAGAATGAAGTAATCCACCGGTTGGCTGCGCTGGTACAGGTAGTGGTGTGTGGCCAGGCGGTTGCTCTCGTCAAACCTCACTTCCTGGTTGACGCTGGGATGCTTCAGCAGGTGCAGCAGGATCTTCTCAGAGATGCGCAGTGGGCTGAATACATCCACTTCTGCCGTGGTGGGAAAAAGGGACGGTGTCCACTGGGGCCTAGTGGCCCATGGAATCACACCCAACACTTTAGGCAATTTCAACTTACTGTGCCCACCGGGGCTAGCCTGTGAGCAGCTGTCCCCCACCCCCAATCTCAACACAAGAGAACTAGATAGGGGCTGGGCATGGTGGCTCATGCCTGTTATCCCAGCACTTTGGGAGGCCAAGGCAGGCGGATCACCTGGAGTCAGGAGTTCAAGACCAGTCTGGCCAACATGGCGAAACCCATCTCTAGTAAAATTACAAAAATTAGCCAGGCGTGGTGATGCATGTCTGTAATCCCAGCTACTTGGGAGGCTGGGGCAGGACAATCACCTGAACTTGGGAGGTGGAGGTTGCAGTAAACCACATTACACCACTGCACTCCAGCTTGGGTGACAAAAGCAAGAACCTGTCTTTAAAAAAAAAAAAAAAGTGCCGGGCGCGGTGGCTCAAGCCTGTAATCCCAGCACTTTGGGAGGCCGAGGCGGGTGGATCACGAGGTCAAGAGATCGAGACCATCCTGGTCAACATGGTGAAACCCCGTCTCTACTAAAAACACAAAAAATTAGCTGGGCATGGTGGCACGTGCCTGTAATCCCAGCTACTCAGGAGGCTGAGGCAGGAGAATTGCCTGAGCCCAGGAGGTGGAGGTTGCGGTGAGCCGAGATCACGCCATTGCACTCCAGCCTGGGTAACAAGGGCGAAACTCCGTCTCAAAAAAAAAAAAAAAAAAACTGGACAGGGCACCCCACATCCACCCAGCTGAGAACTGAGGCCGCCTGGCCGTGGCGCACCAGGTGTGGCACTGCCCTGGCCCTGCTCTTGGCCATCTGGCAGAGAGGAGCTGCCTCTCCCAAGACTCAAGATGCAGGCATGGCTGCAGAGAACACGGTGGTCCTCAGGATGTGCCTGCTTGCGAGGAATGGGGCGTAAAGTTAGTGTCGACCCCGAGCAGCCTCCTGACCCACAGGACAGTGAGGAGCAGGGGGCATGGACCACCCTCCCGCCTCACCTCGGGACAGGAAGCGCTGGGTGGCCAAGAGCAGCTGAGGCGAGATTTTTACTTTATATTCATCATCAGACACCTTGAACAAGGAGAACTCCTCCTTCCGCTTCAGAGGGGCTATCAGAGAAGCAGGCTTCCTCTTTACCACGGTGTCTCCTAAGGTGGAGAAAGAGGGCGCACTCAGGCATCGGCCACTGTCAATCATGACCACACCAGGGAGCGGTGTCGTCCTCTCCTTCCTCCTGAGGTCAGCAGGGACATGTCCTCTGACCACTCCCTCCATGGGGCCTGCTGCCACCCCAACCACATGGACAGAGGGGTGGCTCCTTGCCTTGGAGCTGGCTGAAGAGAATGCTGATATAACAGAGCAGCTTTTATAAAATAACAGGCCTCCCTGATAGGTCACTGGATGTGGACCAAAGTTTTTTTAAATTTAGGCCAAATGTAGTGGTTCACACCTGTAATCCCAGCACTTTAGGAGGCTGAGGTGGGAAGGTCACTTAGGGCCAGAAGTTCAGGACCAGCCTGGGTAACATAGAGAAACCGTCCTTACAAAAAATAAAACAATTAGCCAAGTGTGGTGGCAGGCACCTGTACTCCCAGCTACTCTGGAGGCTAAGGTGGGAGGATCCCTTGAGTCTGGGAAGTTGAGGCTGCAGTGAGCCATGACTGCGCCACTGCACTCCAGCCTGGGTGACAGGGCAAGACTGTCTCAAAAAAAAAAAAAAAAACAAACCAAAAAACAAAAAACAGGCCTCCTTGGCTACTGGGCACTACTTCTCACTAAGTGTGTACTCAAGGATTATCAGTGCAAAAGGGCTGCAATTAACCTGGAGACCCCATGCCTATGGTAGTCTCACATAAAAGACTAAAGATGCTGTGACTGAAAACTGACGCATGAGTAAAGCGATACTTTTGAAAGCATGTGGGGCAGGCAGCCCAGCCATGAAGCACAGGTTCTGTGCTGCCCTGCAGACCTCAGCCACCATCCTCACAGGCAGACACTTGTACCATGCAATCAAGGGCCCCGGGATCAGCTGCTTTGGGGAAGATTTTTTTCATGGTAGAGAATGGGTTCTTTCAGGGGACATTTCTGTAATGTAGAAAAGAACCTGCAAAAACAAAAGCACCTAAGGAGACAGAAGACTGGAAAGACCCATGAAGGGCAGGGCCCTCTCAGTAATGCAGGAAAATAGGACGGCAGCTAATGGAGCCCCAAGGGAGCCCTGGGATTGCAAAGCCACTGCTGGCACAGGCTACAATGCTTGTGTAGAGGTGCAGGTGTGAGCCCTCCTACAACGGGGCTCCCTCCCAGCACCCATGCAGGGCTGAGAAGGGGGCCTGGCTGTGAATCTCACTGGGTTCCAGCAGCACAGAGGCCCACTGGCCTCTGACACAACATACACGTCGGGAAGCCTGAGGGCCCAGTGGAGGTGGAACTGCCAGGAGTCCAGACTCACGGTAGTCTTCTGACTCGTCCAGGATCTCGGACCTGATGATCTCCTCAATCACATCCTCCAGGGTGACTAGGCCCAGGACCTCGTAGAAGGGGTCGCCCTCACCCTCGTTGTTCACCTTCTGCACAATGGCCAGATGGGACTTCCCTGTGGGGGGAGGACACTCATGGAACAGCTTGCTGGCGCCCCCCGCCATTTTTCTTTGTCTCCTCTGGGTATAGGCTCACTAAAAGGACACAGCTAACGTTCATTTTCCTACATCGTGCTGGGAACAGAGCCAGACCCTTTTCTGGGTTTTTACTTAAGACTCCCAGCATGCTTATGAGGACTGGCCTTATTTTCACATCGGCTGAAAATGAAGCACTGGGCTCATGCTCATCTGCACGAAGTCCCCCAGGCAGAGTATGGTGGAGTGGGATCCAGCCCCAGGTCCTCCATGCCATATATGCGGTTCAGACAAGGATGCATCCAGTTGAGAACACAAACACTTCACACAGCAGCCAGCCTGCAGATGCATGTGAACAAGAGACTGACTCTGGAAATGCAGGCTCTCCCTAGACAGTCCACACAGGGCAGCCAAGTGGGGCCACCCAGCCTGACTCTCCTTGGGAGGTTTTCCTTTTTTTTTTTTTTTTTAAAGACGGGGTTTCACCATGTTGGTCAGGCTGGTCTTGAACTTCCAAACTCAGGTGATCCGCCCACCTTGGCTTCCAAAGTGTTTGGATTACAGGTGTGAGCCACCACGCCCGGCCAGGGAGGTTTTCCTAATTCATAAAGCTCCTCATGGCCAGGCACGGTGTCTCATGCCTGTAATCCCAGCACTTTGGGAGGCTGAGGCGGGTGGATCACCTGAGGTCAAGTACTCAGGACCAGTCTGACCAACATGGAGAAAGCTTGTCCCTACTAAAAATACAAAATTAGCTGGGCATGGTGGTTCATGCCTGTAATCCCAGCCACTTGGGAGGCTGAGGCAGGAGAATTGTTCGAACCCAGGAGGCAGAGGTTGCAGTGAGCTGAGACTGTGCCACTATACTCCAGCCTGGACAACAAGAGTGAAACTCTGTCTCAAAAAAAAAAAAAAAAAAAAAAAAGCTGCTCATTAGGGGCTGTCAACCTGGGGATGAGATAAGTGGTACTGGCCACTTGGGAGCCAAGTTGTGCAGGGAGGAGGAGCACCAGGCTGAGATTTTTCACCTTATCCTATGTGTCTTTCTCAGGTTAGCTTCCTATTTGGTTTGTTTGCTTAGTGAGGGAATGTAAGTTTGGAAAAAAGCCCAAGTCTCAAAGTGTTGGGGAATGCTGGGGAAGCTTCAGGAATTTAGTATGTGTCAGATAAGTGCTTTTCATCCATACTACTTTAGACCTGTCTGAAAAAACCAGAATGCAAGACAACTATGTAATTTAAAATCTGAATAGCTGCATTTTTTTTTTTTTTTTTTTTTTTTGAGACGGAGTTTCGCTCTTGTTACCCAGGCTGGAGTGCAATGGCACAGTCTCAGCTCACGACAACCTCCGCCTCCTGGGCTCAGGCAATTCTCCTGCCTCAGCCTCCTGAGTAGCTGGGATTACAGGCACGCGCCACCATGCCCAGCTAATTTTTTGTATTTTAGTAGAGACGGGGTTTCACCATGTTGACCTGGATGGTCTCGATCTCTTGACCTCGTGATCCACCCGCCTCGGCCTCCCAAAGTGCTGGGATTACAGGCTTGAGCCACCGCGCCCGGCGATTGAATAGCTGCATTTTAAAAGTCAAAAGAAACACATAAAATTAAGTTTAATAATATATTGTAAGTAACCCAATGTGCAAAATAGGATTTCAACATGTAATCAATATAAAAAATAGTCACAGACAATTTGTCTTTATTTTGCACTCTCTGAATCTGGTGTCACATCTCAACTCAGACTCCACCTTCAGGTACCACAGCCCAAGTTGGAGGGGGGCTGCCGACCTGGGCTGCGCAGGTCCAAGACAGAGGGCTGGAAGCAACTCATTCAACCAGGTCCTCCTCTGTCACTAGCAGAAACACTAAGGGGAAACTGGCCTGGACCTGCCTATGAGGGGGTACGTGCTTCAAGACTCTTGGACTCTTGGAAAATCAAAAAGTCAACTTCGTGTTGTTGTGTGAACCATACTTGACATCCTGTGGGCTTGATTAAATAAAGCACAATTCTCCAGGATGCTTGCGTTCCCCTGGACAAAAAACTGGAAATAGCCACATCACGTCATCTCCCCGCTTTCCAGGAGGAAAAGCTTTGGCCCTGGAGATCTCCACTCAGTCCTGCTGAACCATAATTCTAGACACCTTCTAACCCTCAGTGCTTGTGCTGGGTGCCATCTCTACAATGGCCATGGCTGCCCCACCAGAGTACCAACCTGTCAGGCCAGACCAGGAAGGCCAAGCATGACATGTGGTTTTGGTTAGTGTCTTGGATTTCAGCACCAAAGCCCATTATCCAAACGGCCAACTCAGCACAGAAAGGCCTCATCTTGGCTCCCTTCTCCCAGGAAGCCAGACCCTTTGGGAGGTTTCCTACAGAGAGGGACTCACCCCTTTGCTTTCAAACTTCTCTAGAACAGGCACACGATTCTCCATGGCCTGCCACACTGCGATGATTCTATCACAAACAGAAGAAAGCCGGCTCTGGAAGAACCTCGGGAACAGTGGTCGTGTGACTGAATCCCAAGAAGAACATCTGAGGGGTCTAGATGGCAGCCAAAGATGGCAGCAGGGGGACAGAGCAAGGGCAGCCGGAGGGACTCAAGGTCACCTCTCATCTGCTGAGCCAACAGACTGGAACCACTCACACCAATGCCCACCTACAGGCCAGCTCCACGGAGCCACGAGCAGCTGTGACAGTGTGTCTTGCCAACATCAAGCAGGAAATCCTGGAAAAGCCTGAAGTTAAATTTTAGTTAGGAGGCTCCAGGGTACTCCAATTATTTGAATGCCAAAGTACCCTTTCATAATGCCCAATTTCTATAATGTAAACAGTTGGAGTGTAAGTTCTTCCACCTTCTCTCTTCTGTTTTCTAAATCACCTTGGTGAATGAGTGAATACTGTGAAAAAGACAAAGGTAGTTTGCTAACACGCTTCACCGTGGTTGGAGCTGGTTGGTCTCTTTTCAGCATCCCGAAAATCATCTGGCTCCCAGCAATCATCTGGCTCCTGATAGAGAGGAAACCAGAGCTCCGTTCCTTTAAAGCAGAGACTGCAGCCGGCCATGGTGACACACACCTGTAATCCCATCTCTTTGGGAGGCTGAGCTGGGAGGATTGCTTGAGGCCAGGAGTTCGAGTCCAGCCTGGGCAACACAGGGAGACCCCAATTTCTACATAAAATTAAAAATTAGCTGACCATGGTGGTGCTCACTGGTGGTGGGAGGATTGCTTGAGCCCAGGAGATAGAGGCTACAGTGAGCCACGATCGCGTCACTGCACTCCAACCTGGGTGACAGAGCAAGACTCTGTCTCAAAAATAATAATAATGTTCTTGGGCCAAGCGTGGTGGCTCACATCTGTAATCCCAGCACTTTGGGAGGCCAAGGCAGGTGGATCAGAGATGAGGAGTTCGAGACCAGCCTTACCAACATGGCGAAACCCCATCTCTACTAAAAATACAAAAATTAGCCCGGTATGGTGGCGTATGACTGTAATCCCAGCTACTCAGGAGGCTGAGGCAGAAGACTGGCTTGAATCTGGGAGGCAGAGGTTACAGTGAGCTGAGATCACGCCATTGCACTCCAGTCTGGGCAACAAAAGCAAAATTCCGCCTCAAAAATATAGTAATAATAATATTCTTTTGTACATTAAAGTCCCTGACTTAACAATGGTTCCAATTATAATTTTTCAAATTTGATGGTTCAAAAGCAATATGCATTCAGTAGAAACCATACTTCAAATACACATAAAGCCATTTTGTTTTCACTTTTAGTATAGCATGCAATAAATTACATGAGATATTCAACACTTTATTTTAAAACAGCTTTGTGTTAGATAACTTTGCCCAACTGCAGGTTAAAGTAAGTGTTCTGAGCATGTTTAAAGTGGGCCAGGCTGAGCTATTTTGTTTGGTAGGTTAGATATATCAAACACATTTTTGACTTAAGGTATTTTCAACTTATGATGGGGTTTTTCAGGACATAACCCCATTTATAAGGCAAGGAGCAGCTGTCCAAGTTATTTATTACTGCTCCAAAGCACTCACTCTTCCTGGTGACATCTGCGCAAAATAATCAGTGTGTCATCTCAAGTTGGCACTGATTGAGGGGTGCCTTGCAGGGGAGGGTACTTTACCCCCAGACTACAAAGTTCCCTAGCATAGCAGCAAAAAAAACAAGATCTGGAATGAAAGTTGCCAAGATGGCAGGGACTCCAGCTCCAGGAAATTCAGAGGCTCATACACTTGGCAGAGAGATGGGAAGGGAATCGATTTTTAAAACCTCACCTGCCACAAAGACTGCAATATGCCCTTTGTTCCTAAGCGGAGGAATGCCTAAGGAGGTTAGGAAGGACAAAAAGGAGTTTAACAAGAAAAAATAAAGGTATCTGCCAACGGACTGCACTGAACTAGAGAGGCAGCAATAAAAGCTCTCGGAAGTCATCAGAAAGACATGGCCAGTCTGCTCACGAATGGCCCTCACTCACCACAGGAGTGGGGAAGTAAAGGGGGATTAAAATGCTCCTAATTCAACCTCTAGGTTCCAAAAACCTCCCCCACTGTCTTCCAAGGGTATCCTTTCAGCGTGTTGTCAGGTAGCTTTTAGAACGGTCTGTTTCAAGCAGAGGTGGTCATCCCCAAATCCTCCTGCACCAGGCTGCCTGTGACCTGTCTAGAGGCCACCCGGCCCAGAACAGGAGCAGCCTGGACCCTGGCCTCTCTAATTTCCTTCCTAGCTACATTTCAACCTGCATTTCAGTCTGAACCCGCCCATCTTCAAACAGCAGAAGGCCTCCTCCCTCCCCTGCCCTACGTCCTCTGCCGGTCACTACTCTCTGGCTTCTCTGCGGCCACGCTCTGTGGAGAGCTGTCTACATTGGTTCTCAAACCTTTCCACACCTCATTCATTCCCCAAATGGCTCCCTTGCTGTGGGCACCAAATCTGCTCTTGCAAAGGTCAAGGGCATCCTGTTTGTTGGCCTCCTCTCCTGTCACTTGCCTTCCCTGGGAAAGTGGTCTCTTTCCCTAGCTTCCAGGACATTCCGCATCTCTGGCTCTCCTCCTTCCTTGGTCTTGCTGCCTCCTGGTCAACTTCTCTTGGGCTTCCCTTTCCCCTGACACACCTGTGCTCCTGGGAGGCTGAGGCTCTCTGCCTCCCTTCGGTGGCTTGAGAGACACTCCTATTCTGCCTCCCACTTGTACTTCACATCAACGGCCTGCTAGGAGTTTGCCTTTTGGGACATTGCACAGACACAAATTCAATGGCCAAAACAAGTTTACCTGCTCCCCACACCCAGCCCTTGGTGAAGGCACTGCCACCGCACAGCCAGAAATCTGGGCCTCATCCTTTGTTGCTCCTCCTTGCTGCACAGCCCCGCTGTCAGACACCAACTTTCCCAATTCCACCTCTGCTGCCCTCCTGGGGCTCCTCTCCAGGCCTGCCATGAACCTTCAGGTTATCTTCCCCTCTCACCTGGATCCCTCACACTGCTGGTCTCCCTGCCCTGGTGTCCACAATCATTACTGATCTGTAAAAATAACTGACGGTGCTGCTTAATGCTCACAGCCCTGGTGATCAAGTCCAAGTTCCTTACACAGCACACAAGCCCCCTAGGGGAAATCCTGCCTCTAGGCTCCTTCCCAATCAACCTGAAGGTTTTTGATTTTTCCCCAGGTAGAATCCCCAACCACCCTAGGCCAAGCTCATCCATCACATCTGAAAGGCAAGACTTATGGCAGGGAAGATCCTGACACTAAGGGTTTGGAAAATGAAAGACCACTTTCATCAACCTTATCCTGAGCATATGACCAACTATGGAAGTTCCCTTTAGTCCAAAAGGGGCAACCCTTCCATCTTCGCTGCCCCAAATCTCCTCCCAGTGACTGCTCAACTGCTGAAAGCACCAGCCAGCTGAAGACAGATACTAGAGTGAGTTTTTTTCTTAAAGAATTTAGAAACCTCAGTGCTTAGAACACCAAAGGAACAGCTACCATCGTCCACTTTTTCCCTATAAAGAAGGAAATCTGGTGACCTGCCTGGAAAAAATGGAAATCTGCACTTCTATGGTTCACCTCTTGCTCCTGAATTGGCAAACAGCTCACCTACCAGCAGAGCCTACCCAGAGTGACAACCGCCTGCTAACACCAAGCACACAACACGTGCATGCCAGGCACTGGCCAAAGTGCTTAATGAGTCTCCCCCCTGCCGGTCCGTTTACCCTACTCTTATCACTAACAGCAGAGGACCTTGTGCCATGAGAGGCTGAGCAGCCTTCCGGGGCCTGGGAGCAGGCAAGGGCAGGACAGAACCTACTCCGCTGATTCCAGGGTCACACTGTTGGCCACCACCCTAGGAGAGCCACCCCTGCCGCAGGGGATCCAGTGGCCCAGATGGAGTACTTACCACTGCTAGGCTCTATCTAGACCCCAGTCCAGGCTCCCTCCCCAGGGCAGGGTGGCATGGCCATGTTCTAGGGACTCAGACAGAGGCACCCAAGAGTCTAAGAGAATAGTTAGAGCTGCCACCCAAGCCTCCCACCCATTCCTGAGCTATAGTAGTAACAGTAACTTAGTACCCAGGCCTCCTGCAAGGAATGAGGAATAAGATACACAGAGAGTGCTGACCAGCGCCTGGCACACAGCAGTGCTCAGTCAGGAGTAGCAGTCATTATCACAAAGCCTGGCTTCCTGCGCCAGTGGGCCAGGGGCTCTCGACAGAGTGCCAGAGATGTCCTGCCATAAATACCAGGGGGCTTTGCCACTTCTTGGCCTCACACCAAGCAGTTTTTAGGGTCAAGCATATCCAACACTCTGTGGTGCCCCCACCCTTACCCTACAGGAGTGCAGGTGTGAGAAGCATGGCTGTTGACCAAGGTATGAGCCCCAAACTCTGGTGAGCACCACCAAGGATGACATTGGAGAGGACCGCTGAGGAAACCAGACCTTCACATCTGGAGGGTACAGGTTTTACCTTCAACCTCTGAACTGCTCAGATAAAACAGTGAAAGGAGGGACGAAAATGTGGAGTAAGGGAGAACTTGAGACCTTAGGGTTAGAAAAGAGAAGGTCAGGCTGCGTGCAGTGGCTTATGCCTGTAATCCCAACACTTTGGGAGACCAAGGTGGGAGGATCACTTGAGGCCAGGAGTTTGAGACCAGCCCAGGGAAAAAAATGAGACTCTGTCTCTGTATAAAATTTTAAACATTAAAAAGAAGATTAAAAAGCAAAAAGAGGCCGGGCACGGTGGCTCACGCCTGTAATCCCAGCACTTTGGGAGGCTGAGGAAAGTGGATCACCTAGTCAGAAGTTCAAGACTAGCCTAGCCAATGTGGTGAAACCCCATCTCTACTAAAAATACAAAAATTAGCCTGGCTTGGTGATGGGTACCTGTAGTACCAGCTACTCGGAAGGCTGATGCAGGAGAATAGCTTGAACCTGGGAGGCAGAGGTTGCAGTGAGCCTACATCGCGCCACTGCACTCCAGCCTGGGCGATAAAGCCCGGAGAAAGGGAGACTAAATCAGCATCCATGGAGTTGCTTTTTGTGAAAGCAAAGTGTAAGTTTCCCTGGCTTTAGTGCAGATAAGGAATTGGCTCCTAAACACCCGTACCTGCAATAAGGTCAGGAACCTTAAAAATGCTCTGGAGGAAAAATAACAGGTTCAGTCAATTTGATGTCCTGTGTGTGCAGATAACATCTCAGATACCTGGAGACTACCTTTTCTATGTTCTTCTAGTTTCTATCCAAGAATTTGATTAGAACTAAGTGGACATACCCCTCCCTCCAAATGGGAGGGCGGCTATCCTGACACGGGGGTTAAAGTGTTCGCTTTCTAAAGCACTCCGTCCCTCTCTGATGGCCTTTAAATATTTCAACAGGTCATTCCAAGTTCCAAGGCCAATACCTTCTTGAAAAGGGCCCTTAGAGGTCTCACTGCTCTCCACGGGGGTGGGACCCTTTCCTGGAGGCTTCCATAACTCTCCACCCCTTTTCCGGGAGAGGGCACTGGCATGAGCGTCCCCTGCACCAAGGCCGGACCGTTACCTCGCTTGAACTCCTCCAGGACAGCGTCCAGCTTGGTGTCGTTGAAGACGAAGTGGAGGGGATGGTTGTAGAAGCGAGTTATAGTGCTGAGCGGTGTACAGTCTTCAGGATCCACGAAGGCCAAGTCCTTGAGGTAGAGCATGTCCACGATGTTGGAGCGCTCCTCCTCGTACACGGGGATGCGCGTGTGGCCGCTCTGCATGATGCTGGCCAAGACGCCGAAATCCAGCACAGTGCTGGCGTCCAGCATGAAGCAGTCTTCGAGGGGTGTGAGCACGTCCTCCACGGTCCGGCAGCGCAGCACGCCCTTGCTGAGATCGCTGTACGGGTCGCCGCCGCCGCGCGCCAGCTCCAGCACCCGCTCCCGTAGCCGCCCGGGCCGCGCCGCCAGCTCTAGCAACTGCCCCACAGGCAGCGCCACGGGCAGGGTGAGCAGCACGGCCAGGCGGCTGAGGCCAAGCGCGCGCGGCGCCAGCGCCAGCGCCCAGCGTCCGCTCACGGCGGCCGGCACCACCTCGCCCACCAGGAACACAAGCCCTGCGCTGCCCAGCACGGCGGGCACCGCACGCTGGCCGGCCGCGCGGTACAGGAGCACCGCCAGCGCCGCCTGCGCCAGGCTGGCCAACAGCAGCAGCGCGCCCAAGATGCAGCCAGCCCAGCGCCGCACGGGCTCCAAGCGCCGCGCAGCCGCACGCTCTGCCTCCGAGCCGCTCTCGCGCAGCACCTGCACCTCGGCCGGCGCCAGCGCCAGCGCGCTCAGCTGCAGGCCCCGCGCCAGCGCCGCCAACGCCAGGAGCCCGGCCGCCCCCAGGCCCAGAGCCCAGGGCGGCGCCGCCTCCTCAGCCGCCCCGCCGCCCGGCTCCACGCGCACCGCCAGGAGCGCGGAGTGCGGGCGCACTGCCTCTGCCCGCAGGCGCAGGCGCAGCAGCGCGAGCCACTCGCCCGCCGGGGCCGCCGCCTCCTCCGGGCAGCCCGCCCCCTTGGGGGCCACCCAGGACCAGGAGCTGTTGGCAAAGCCCGGGCCAAAGAGGCGCAGGAGGAAGGTGGCGTCCGGCGTGTCCCGCGTCGCCCCTTCGCGTACCCACCCCACGCCCGCCGCTCCGTCCTCCTCCAGACAGAAGCCCAGCACTCGCGGGCCCAGCGCGGCCTCCCCCGCGGCGTTACCCAGGCAAAGCGCGGCGAATAACCAGCCTAACCGACCCGCCGCCGCTGCCGCCGCCGCCATCGCCTGCCGCCCCCTCTCGGCCTCTCGCGCAGCCTACCCCGCTCGCCCCGCTTCTCCCCGGACCAATCGTTGCCTGCCTTCGCGCATCCTCGGCCAATAGGCGGTGGGAGGGGGCGGGCCCCGGGGTCGGACTAGGCTGCGTCGGGGAGTAAACAAGCCGCGGCCAGGGGCGGGCCGGGGGCGTGGGGCTTTGGGCCCCGCCGGGTCCTGCCGAAGCTGGCGGTGCGTAGAGTGGCGGTGGCCTGGAGGACGCAGGGCGGCGGGCAGGGCCTCCCAAGCCTGGCAGTCCTTGGCCTGCGCGGGGCACCCGGAATCCCACTCCTCCCGAGGCCGTCCCCTGTGCCGGGAGGTGAAGCGAGCGTTCTGGAAAGTCCCCGGGTCGGGAACGGAGCGGCAGCTCGGATGAACCTCGGGTCCTGGCGCATCTTAAGTTGCAGACCAAACGGAGACTTAAATGTGCAAGAAATGTGCGTTTTCTTAGGAAGGGCCTCCAGGTACCAGAAAGGTTTTTAACCCGCCGACCTACGTGGCTAAGAGGGCTGAAATAAGAACCAGTGACTGAGCGCCGGGAGGTTAAGGTTTATGGAAGATGTTCATCGCGCCGCACCCTACTAGAGGTCTGGGGACGTAGGACAGTCCCCGCGTTCCCGCCGCGAACTCCGTGATAAATACGCAGACACACAAAATCACTACCGCCTTGGATCTGGACGGCTACCTCAGTTATTAATCTCTTACAGGAGAAGAGTGGAGCTCAGAAAGACTCAGCATGGGTGCTGGGTTCCGGCGCGACCGGCCCAACACCCAGGTCAGCATCCCAGCCACACAAGGAGGCGGCAGTTGTCAGAAATCTGGTGATTCCACTTCTCAGAGCTCACCGCTGGGAGAGTAATTCCTCAAGACTAACAAGATCTATTCGGGAGGATCCTCACTGCTGAAGCGATTTTAGAAGACAGTATGGTCTGTTGACAGTATGGAATGTTCTTTACCCACGAGATATGATCTCTGTGTGATTCAAAGGAAATAGACCAACTGCTAACAAAACTTCTCTGTAGGTGTTCAGGTTCAGTGATTTTTGTATTTTTCTCTCTATAATTTTTAATTTCCTAGCGCAAGAAGACTTTGACTTACTGCACATGTCATTTTAAATGACCTTTTTTTTTTTTTTTTTTTTTTTTTTGAGACGGAGTTCCGCTCTTGTTACCCAGGCTGGAGTGCAATGGCGCGATCTCGGCTCACCGCAACCTTCGCCTCCTGGGTTCAGGCAATTCTCCTGCCTCAGCCTCCTGAGTAGCTGGGATTACAGTCACACGCCACCATGCCCAGCTAATTTTTTGTGTTTTTAGTAGAGACGGGGTTTCACCATGTTGACCAGGATGGTCTCGATCTCTTGACCTCATGATCCACCCGCCTCGGCCTCCCAAAGTGCTGGGATTATAGGCGTGAGCCACCGCGCCCGGCCTTAAATGACCTTTCTAAGGATTCTATAGAAACAATTTATTTCACGAAAATAACAATTTTTAAAAAGTGTACACATTGTGGCCGCTAGTAAAACGTGTTTGTGTGAAAGGTAATGTGCAAAAAAAATGAGTAAGCTGGTGGTGAATGACCAAAGGAAAAAGGCATTGTAAAAAAACTTTTTAAAAGATGGTAATAGTGTTTCTTCTGCATTGTAAACTCAGAGCTGTGATTAGGCCGATGGCATCTCGGTGCAGATGATGTTCTGTGCCCTTTCAGTTTACCTTACTTCTGCAGATTACATACTAAGCCTACAGCAGAAGCAATAAAGACATTACTGGGCCTTTCCACTGGATCATCATGCCTCCTTTATAGAAAAAAAAAGTGCAAATGTTACAATAGATTCAGCTCCTTTAGTTCCCACTTCTGTCTCCAAGTCAAGATAAAATGCTGACATTGAAATAGAATAGATGACATGCTTGAAATGAGTCCTGTGCCTGAAAAGTCCTTCTCTAGCAAAGAACAGTTCCAGAGGAAAGCCAGGAAAAGCTCCCCATGGATTTAAAGACAGGGCCCTCACCTTTGACATGTTACTTTTTCCTTGTCTTAGGCTTCCTTGGAAAACAACCTATACCTAACTTTCTGGGAGTAAAGCTTCAGGTGAAAGAACAATTGGCTCAAACTTGGAAAACATAAGTGGTCATTTAAATTCTCAGTACTCTAAGATACTGACAGAAAACCCAGTATGGAACACGCAGAGCTGCTCCTGGAGTGGTTTTCCATTTGCAGTAGAGGCCTCAACAGCCCTTTGCCAGCTTCTCCTGTGGCTGTGCCATTGTTTCCTCCACCCCTGGTTAGCGACAGTGGAGACACAGCCACTTTGCCTTCAGGCCATCGTTGGCCCTCTCTGGGCCATTTTCCTTACCGGTCTTTCGGATCAAGACATTTCCATGTTAGAGCTAAATATTTATTCTTGAGTATTAAACCCATTGGCTAATTCCTACTTATCTCTCAAGCCTTAGCTCATATGCTCCTCCCTCCAAGTGATCTTCTTGACCCTCTTGACTACGGAGCTATGTGCTCTCCCGACGTCATCCAGGTACATCCCCTATTATAACATACTCATTTGTTCATTCAACAAGTATTTCCTGCATTGAGTCCCTGCAGTGTACCAGGTACTGTTCTAGTGTTGGGACTGTAGTGGGAATAAAATTAAGTCCCTACCCTTGTGGGGCCAGATTCTAGTGCAAGAATAACAAAAAAATACCCAAGTCTATATTTTAATATCTGGTAGTAAGTGCTATGGAGGGAAAAAGGCAAGATAAAAAGACAGATGCTGGGGCAATGCTGACTGAGATGGGCTAATCAGGGAAGGCTTCTTAAGGAGATGGATTTGAACTGAGGCTTAAGTAAGGGGTGAGTCTCATTAAGACTTAGGAAATGTGTCCCAGGTAGGGATACAACAAGTCAAAAAGCTGTGACTGTCCCCTTTAGGGTCAGAGGGAGGTTCTTCACTAAATTCACAGAGGGGTTGTAGTACCTGGAATGCAATAGGTGCTTAAGTGTGTGGAACAGATGAAGATAATTTACAAATCTTGCCCTCTACACAAACGTTTGCATGTGTACCTTTTTTATCTGGAATATCTTCTTTTCTGTGTTGTCTACCCAGATGCCTCCCTTTCTTCAAGCATGCCCCCAGTTTGTCTACTACATTAACCTTTGCATGCTTGGAGTCCCTGGCCTCAGTACATTCCATTGCACAAGCGAGCCTGCAGCACCCAGACAGCACCATAGAGTCCCCTGCAGAGCTGCAACTTTGAGAGTGGGTTTAGTGAGTAACTCAGTCAGGTTCTTCAGGGGATGAACACTCCAACTTTTAAACCGCAACCAGCCTATAGGTGTGGACCAAAAGGCAGCTGCATGTTATAAAACAATATACTTATACTTTTGGTTCAAGCTTCTCTCAGTCCCGTGGGTAGGGAGGAGGGGCAATTTGCTGAAGTCCACTGCGCTTCCAGTACTCACAAGCCAAGGAGCCTATGGGATCTGTTTCACAGGACTCATGCTTATGGCAGCTGAGCACATCTGTCCTGTATGTCTGCCAGCAGCCACGACCCTCTTACTCCCGTGACAACAGCCTTGACTATGTTTTAGAAATTCCGTTTCTGACTGCATTTCACTGCTGAATGGTCTTAAAATCCTTTCTTGCCCCTGGCCCCATCACAAGAGCCCGCCAGCCACAGCCACTTTTATCTTGACGACATACTTAATACTGGCAGAATTCAAACAGGCAAGTTGTAGACTCACCAGGGTTTATACATATTTCATTTTTTATTACCAATCAAAAATAAATTCCATATATCGTTTAACAAATATTATCATTGTTTTGTGACAAAAGACACAAGAGTCATAACAACAAACTCCCCGAGAGTCAAACTCATAACGCCAAAATAAATCACAAAAATATACAAATTAAAATCTTATGCAAAATAAATACGGCGGCTGTGACCTGCCTACCCATTTGGATGGCATTTACAAAGGTCTCCCTTACACAGAAGACACATTGGGTGGGCCAGTTCCAGGGTATGGCTCATCCCAGGAACCAGAGGTTGAAATAGGAAGTGAAAATTGCACTGGGAAGAGGAAGTCATCAGACCAACAATATTTGGAAATAATGATGACCCTCTGTGAGAAGGGATTATCAGTGGGCCAGGGAAGAGGAGGAGTACCAGCCAGTTGGTGGTAACCATGTGCACAGAGGTCAGGTGGAGGTATGTGTGCACCTGCCCCTTTTGCTTCACATACCCCCACCAATGTCTTTTGCTCCACCTGGCAGTCAGGGCTGTCAGGAATACAGCTCTGCCAGCTTCCGAAAGGATTTGGGAGCAAGCTGCTCCTGTAGAAGACTAAGGGCTTTCCCCCAATAGGGAACAAAGGTCTGGTGTCTTTTTTCCTTATAGTTGAGAACCCATGGGTGTCACCACCTTCTCTCCCGGCTTCCAGGAGTCAGTTCTATGGCTAGGAGACCTCATACTGGCCAGGGGTAAGCATACTTGGTGCAAGACAATCCCTGGTCCTAAGAGTTAGGATTCTCTAGGCACCTGGAGAGTAGGGCACTTGGGGTGAGGAAAGGAGTGAATAAATAATACTCAGGCAGAAGGCCTGCACAGACTCACCCGCCTGGCTCTTGGGCCCCAGCTCCTGCTGCACCCAGTGGAAGGGCCGACGTGGACCTTGGTCCCACAGCCTCCCTGACTCTGGGAAGCCTGGAGCTCTGCAGCAGCGCCTGATTCAGCCCCAGGGAAGAGGTGCCAGGGCAGGAATTCACATGGGGGCAGAACTCTTGGTACAGTACTACTAACTACAGCAAGGGCAGGACGACCTCTCACGCTAGGATCACATGCGTGAGAAAGCAGGGCTACCAGGTGCATGCCTTCAGGAGGAGCCCTCCTCTCCTGAGGTTCCATAAGTGGGTGGACAAGGCCAGGTAAGCCTTGCTGGCTGCAGAGGAAAGGACATAAAGAGCCTGTTTTCGGTGGCTTCCAACATGACCTCTTGTCCCCACCCGCAAGAGGGACTGGGGCTTGGGGATTCAAAAGGAGGAGTCTGGGACAAAGGCATCAGTCAACAAGTGAGCCTTGACTCTCATTATGACGCAGGGTGGTACTGACTGCTAACAATGCAGATGCCGATGACAGTTCCTCCCGGAACCAAAGAGAAGAACCCAGACAAGTCACCTCCAACATAGATGCCCTCCTGCCACGGGGGAACTTTGGTAAGAGTGAGGTCAGGCCCTGTAGAGCAGGGGTGAACAATCGAAGGCCTGAGACCCTGCCTAACACTTGAGCCAGCCCCATCACAAAGGGGCAGTTGTCCAAAGGGCCAGATGGGAGGCAGGGTGGGGATGTGTCCTCAGCCGAGTCCCAACTCACCAGGAGAGGCTGTCGGCAGAGTTCTAGGAGCTTTCTGGGTACAGTGGTTGAAAGCAGATGTGCTCCTCTCCATAGCTTGGGTTGTGTCCCTGATCACAGCTACCCAGGAGCTCCTGGCCTCAGAATCATCAGATAAGCTATAGCACAGGTGCCCAGGCAGCTGATCTCCCCACCACTTGGTTCTTTGCTTCCTGTGAAGAGCTGTCTTCCTCCCAAGAGACGAGCCTCCTCTGGCAGGTGCTGGGATACCACCTCTGGAGGAGGAGGAGGAGGAGGAGGCGGCAGAAGGGAGAGCTCCCTGAATTAGGGACATAAGCTGGAAGGTTACGGCTGGGAGCAGATTATGGCCATTGCTTCCTGGGGCAATAAACCCTTCCTCTTTTATAGTTTTTTGGGAAAAATTTTTAAAAAAAAAAATAAAGTTCCTTAACCCTGTCTTCCCTTCCCAAAATGATATTTAAAAAGAGGAGCGATGAGCCTAGTTTAGAAATTCTCTTAGTAAAAAACAGCCTTTGCTCATGGTAGCTGGCCCACTGCCCCAGCAATCCAGGGCTGGATAGTGCTACCTCAGAGCTACTCAGAGGTCCCTGGTAGAGGCCAGATCCCCTACAGGCTGGGGGCCATCTGGATTTTCAGTCAGACAGACTATCTATCCGCATCCTTTCTGGACTAACAGATTCCCTCTCTTCATGTGGGCCCACTGGGGAGGCCCCCGCAGGGTGGGCAGGGGGCCCCGGGCCCTCCTGTCAGATGGCACTCTC